CTGGTGAGATCGACAAACGAATCTCTTCTTCATGCACTTTCATTCGAAATGAAGGTCCCCCTAACAATGTATTACATAATCCTCAGCTCAGCAGCCTGCTTGAACTGCTGAGAGGCAGCGCAACTATTTAGCACTGGACCAACAGCATTTTTAGTACATTTGAATACATTTTAAAAGCATACCTAATTTGCCAATCTTTTTCGCTGACAAGTACCACTGCGATGCTTTTCTGCCTGAAATGCCTCTGTGAAGGATGTGGTATTTTCACATCATTTGTTTACACACAAAAATTTGTGGTAAGTTGTGAAATATTGAGGTTTACAAAAGATCTTGTCCATCCATAATAGTTAAGAGGTATAGGGAAGAAAGAAATCGGGACAAAATGGATAATTTTCTTTTCGTTTTCCTGATTTCCAAACCAAGAGTGTTACTGCTACTCAATGGAGTACGGCAAAGCTCCAATATTTTTAGCTGAGCCATTTACGAGTCCCTGGACTGCAATCCTCACAGAGAATAATGTGACTTTCATCTGATGCAATCATTTATTCTTGCCAAACTTGTTTCCTCGTTCTCGATTCAGTGAATACATAGATTTACACAAGTGTGACATGAACATATTTGATGAAATTAAAGCAAGTTTGCGAGACTAGTTTTGCAAAAACCAGAATGAGCAAATTTGCCGTCTGCGGAAAACTCCACGGTCCATTAGAATTAAGGCATGTTAACAATTCTAATTTATCTTCCCTGAAATGAATAGGAAAGGGTAAGAGACTGGCCAATCGATAGCGCTTTATTTCACCCCCTTTGAATAGTATTCACTTGCAGATACTATCTGAAGAGGCCAAATGGCTAGATCAGCGCTATTCAGTTGTGAAGTCAGAGGAATGGGTAGACAGAGCTCCAATCCAAATGTGCCAGTTTAAGAGAGCCAGTCCGTTCTTTTCTGTTTACCGCATTTACCACTCGCCCTTCTCGTAGCAGCGTCTACCCTTCATCCTTCCAACCAGCTCGGCCGAAGAGAGACAGAGCTGGACAGACAGAAAGAGAGTGCGAGAGAGAGCGAGTGATTTTAAAGGGACAGGACAACTTTAAAATTTCAACGCGCACACCTTTCTGCCTTACTGTTGGCCGGCGAACGGCTTGTCTTATGGCCGCCCCGTCCCGGGGTCTCGTGGTCTATCGCTGGCTTAAACATTTTCAAACTGGCCTTTAAGTGACGTGCTCGCAGTGCAGGCCTTAAAATCTAGTCATTCCGCGTTTTCTGATTGGCCCTTCAGGTGTTGTCATCCGCGTGACATGAACCTCAAAATCAAGTCAAATATGAATTGGTAAGACGCGATTCCAGTTGAACGACTTGATGATATTACGTTCAGCCTTTCTTGTCTGGTGGCGTCTATAGCTTAGGCCTATTTTTGATGTAATCAACCTTTTTCAAAGTTCTCTCAAGAGGCGTTAAACATTAGCGTCAATATAAACAAAACGTGAAGTACTATACATATTATACAGTATGAATTTCTCCTTTCGGGATTTTCATTTATCTCGGATAGGTTGTAGGATCATTTATTCCAAATACATTTTC